TATGTGCCAAATGCTAACTTTACTAAATATCAGAAAGGAGTGTACTATACAGGTATCAAGTTATTTAATAATCAACATAATATTCAACAATTAAAAGTCTAAATTATGATATAAAGGTATTCTAGCCTGCATTGAAAGATTACCTCTTTACTCACTCCTTCTGTTCTGTAGATGATTTCATCTCCGCTGAAAATGTTTAAGCTTTATATCCATAATCTACGTATATGTAAAGCAAGTTTTGTATTTATATTTAAAATTCTGAGGTTTATGTATATTAATTTGTAAAATTATTTTTCATACTTGTATTGCAGAATCTGAAATTTATGTACATTGATATGTGAAATACGTTCTTGTACTTGTGTTGAAAGTTCTGAAGTGTATGTATATTGTATGAAATGACATGTTCTACATCCTTTGGTTGAGTCCTAAGAAGGATCTATGGAATGTAAATAAACTCTACTCTACTCTCTGCGGATTGTTGACGGCAGTAATGTACTCACTCCTATTTTGTAGATGATTTCATCTCTGCTGAAAATGTTTAAGCTTTATATCCATAATCTACGTATATGTAAAGCAAGTTTTGTATTTATATTTAAAATTCTGAGGTTTATGTATATTAATTTGTAAAATTATTTTTCATACTTGTATTGCAGAATCTGAAAGTTATGTACATTGATATGTGAAATACGTTCTTGTACTTGTGTTGAAAGTTCTGGATTGTATGTATATTGTATTAAATGACATGTTCTACATCCTTTGGTTGAGTCCTAAGAAGGATCTATGGAATGTAAATAAACTCTACTCCTACTCTGCAGCAGCAGTAGTAGTGATAGCAGCAGTAGGAGATGACCCCATTCTGTGAAATTACTCTTTAAATTTAAATATTCTAACTCTTCCACCTGCTAGGCTGATACCAATGACCCAAGAAACATATTATTATCTGTAACACCAATAACTATTGTGACACAAGGCTGTGTAGCCAGGAATAAGGTGCAAGCATTCACAGAGTATATCCAAGGTAAGACTCACATCTTGTCTTTATGGTTTCAATGTACAAGACAGACAAGTTAAAAGTTTTTTCAATTAAATTAATTAAGCATCATGATCTAAGTGCCAATTTATTATAGATATGTTGGTTTCAAGATAGGCCAGTTGCAGTGGCCATGCGGTCTGAGGCATGGACCTCGTGCACCTGGCCGCTGGGACCGTGGGTTCAAGTCTCACTCAAGGCGCAGATGTTTGTTCGCATCTTTCTGTGTTTGTACAGGTAGAAGCCTTGCAATGGGATAATCACTCATCCAAGGAGTCCTACCAATGTCCAAATAGATCAAATGAATAAATAAACACCTCGACATCTGCGTGTAAAAGAGGATAAAGATTAAGTAAGTGGTTTCAAGATAAATACAGTAAAAATGTTACATTCTATTGTCTATAAAAATATGATACTTTACTGTTTCTGTATTATTTTGGGTTCTTGTTTGAAAATTTACTATGGGTGCTGGATTAAAAATTGTTAATATATAAGACAGTTGTACCTTGAGCATACTTTCTAAGAGCTTACATCCACATTCAATTCCTGAATTTTAAAGGTACATAATTTAGTTATAAAATATACATATAGAATATAATTTCATTTACACTCCTTAAATCCTTCATAGCACAAGTCATGGATGTGTAACACATCATAATATGAACACCTGCACTTAGTGTATTAATATGATGTGCTTTCAGCTATTTGCTAATACCTGGACAGCACAATATATTACTGCATCCTACTACAATAAACCTTTAACAAATAACCTGTCAGATCAAGCACACACTTAATGCCTAACTTATATCCTAAGAAAAGCCACTTTTTCCTCACCTGAAAGGCAGAAGTTGACACCTTCGTTCGAGAAACTCCTGTTATACCATTCACATTTTCCATTTTTCATCTGAAAAGCACCTAAAGCATTTTTCTATAGCACGCTAAAGACAATAGACAACCAAATACACGACGGCCAACGACCCATATAGCTGCTTCAAAACGATAGTCACCTGGCTCAACATAGTCTTTGAGTTCAATATGTGCTAATTATAATTAGTATCTTCAAACAATTAATTCGTGAATAATAGATTACTCCTCCGTACAGTGGAATCGGTACGAAAGGAGTTAATTTATTTTTTAATTTCTTTACAGCCTACTTAATTTCGTATCTATCTCAACCACGCGTTATACTTCGTCAGAAATACATTATCGAGAATTTCATTCTACAGTGTTGGTGTTTCTGTCATGAGTCTGTAGTGTTTTGTTTTGCATTTGCATTTGCATTTGTTTCGTGTTCGTGTAAGGAGTAGACTGTTGTTCCAGTTTTGTTTGTTGTCACATATAGTATCAACGATGCTACTGATTTCTGTTGGAGGCATAATTTTTTTCACTTTAGTAATTGAATGCAATGCAGCTACATTCGATTTAATTAATCCTGATATAATTGCAAACAACGTGGATCGGTCCATCGACCTAGCAACGCAACTGGCAAAATTATCATACAAAATAACGCTGAAAAATAATGGGAAAGGTGAAGTGAAGAGTTTTTTGTTCGCAGTGGAGCCGAATGTGAAAGATAGTCTGTCATATATAGGAGCACAGGCGAGTAAATTTAATACTGGTTCAGTATATTTGGCAGGAGCTGCATTTGCCGGCGTTGCCGGGCGACGCCTGCCACGTAGTTGTGAAGAGTTTAATGATGTGCAAAGAGTAGAACGAAGACTGCCGAATGGCCCCATTGGTTTTGGCCATGCTGTTTTTTAAATTTTTAAAAAAGGGGGGGTTGAGTAGTTTTGTTGGAAATACTATATTTCTGTACACCACAAATAAATTACTAATTACGTGGACGGTATGTGAATTTGACCTGGATGGTATTATATACTACCGTAAAATTTGTTTGTGTACTAAACAGGCATCACACACCACGTGTTTGTACATCATATGTCTTTTAGCCTTCCTTCTCTGAATGAATGTATAAATATATCAGTTTGTATGCACATTTAAATGACGGACCCTTGTGTTATCAGTGGATTTGTACCGTTTACCTGTGCACTTAAGCTCTTATTCAGTTTATTCACTTTGTTTTGTACAATTTATTATAAAACAATATGACATCTGCAGGGTTCACCCCTGCAATTTAGGTAGCTTTGTATTAGGAAGTTTGTAGAGGTCAAAATTATATATATCTAGACCTGGTATGGATCCCCACACCTTCACGTGTTTTTCCTTCCACAACATGTGATTTTGCTGTTGTAAAATGTTTCTTGCCATATGTGATAAACTATACCAAAATTGTTTAAAATGGATTTAAATTAATGACTGATGGCATTAGGATACTGTGAACCACCATGTGACAAGATCAACCCTGAGTATTGTTATGACATTTGTGTTCTTTGTGCAATTTTGGAATCACTGAGAACTGGCTCATCTGACTGACATGGGTGTGCTAGGTGACGTATAATAAGAGTGAAGGGAATTTATGATCTTTCATGGTTGGTTTTGCACAGCTGATTTATGAAATTCTGCAGAAAGTATATTCCACAGTGTAGGAACCACATGTCTGAATGGAAGGACTTTTGTTGTTTCTGGTGGTGGTTTGTTCCTGTTAGTGACAGTTCTGTGGAAGGAGAATACAATATTTTGGATTATCTTATATCTTAATTGCATCATGCTTGTGTTTCAATACAATACTTTTATTTTCCGTCGTTTACACAAGCTTATTGTTAAAATCATATAAAATCATATAAAATTTCACATAAAATTGTTACATTTTAAAATTGACGACATGTTTCGATATACAATCTTATCATCGTCAGGTCTATCAAAATTAAAATTAAAATCTGGTGTATCTGTTGCTCTGCTTATATTGTTTTTGTTTTTACTCGTTTTTACTACATCTCCAGGCTTCTTCGATTTTATTTTTTGAGACGCGCCTGGGTGCCTATATCTGCAAAATCAATTTTAATTTTCATATCGTGATTCTGGCTACCGACATAGGAAATGGAATAATATTACTCTAATTTTATATTATTTTAAGGAATTACTCAAATATATCGTAATACAAGCAAAAGAAATACACTCACAAAATATAAAGTATTATAACATACCGGGTTGTGTATGAGGTGCGTGTCCGTTGTTATTGAATGGCAGACAGCAACTGAGTTGTAGGTATCGTGTGTGGCTATATATATTGGGTGAAAGTTGTTTAGGGGGTTTGGTCAATGGACTGTAGAATGTTAAATATCGGATTGTTCGTGTAAATGTTGCTGTCGTTTAGTGCAAGGTTTTGTTTATGTGTTCTTTGTATATGATATTTCTCTATGGTGTCTCTATGTGGTTTGTTTTGTATTATTTTTATAATGTCCATTGTATGTTCTATTTTGTTGTATGAATGTCCTGTGTTTAATATATGCTTTGCATATGCTGAATGGTCTTTATTATGTTTTATTGCTGTAATATGTTCTTTATATCTTTGATTAAAGGTGCGTCCAGTTTGGCCTATATAGGTTAACGGGCAATCATTGCATTTTAACCTATTTATGCCTGGTTTTTCGTATTGATTTGTTGTATCTATTTGTGGTTTTTGTTTCAAGATGTTTTTTATAGTGTTTTTTGTTCTAAATGCTATTTTTATGTTATTTGTTTTAAATGTTTTTGTTATATATTTGGTTTCTTTTCCTATATATGTGAATGTGGCCCATTTGTTTTGTTTATTTTCGTTTCCGTCTTCATTTATTTCATTTTTCTACTATAGTAGATATGTTGACGATATACTCATGATTTTTGATGAAAAAATACAGACATAAATATACAATTCACTTTAGAAAAAGAACAAAATAACAAATTAAATTATTTAGATCTAACTATAATACGAAACGAAAATAACTTCGAATTCAAAATATACAGAAAGCCAACAAATACAAGCACCATAATTCATGCCTCTTCATGCCATCCGAATGAACATAAACAGATGGCTATTAACTACTTAATAAACAGAAAAAATACATATCCCATAACCACAGTAAACAAACAAATTGAATGTAACACAATAAAACAAATTCTAATAGAAAACGGATATAATAATTATGAATTAAAACCCAAAAATAAAATAAACAATATAAACAACATAAATGAAGACGGAAACGAAAATAAACAAAACAAATGGGCCACATTCACATATATAGGAAAAGAAACCAAATATATAACAAAAACATTTAAAACAAATAACATAAAAATAGCATTTAGAACAAAAAACACTATAAAAAACATCTTGAAACAAAAACCACAAATAGACACAACAAATCAATACGAAAAACCAGGCATATATAGGTTAAAATGCAATGATTGCCCGTTAACCTATATAGGCCAAACTGGACGCACCTTTAATCAAAGATATAAAGAGCATATTACAGCAATAAAACATAATAAAGACCATTCAGCATATGCAAAGCATATATTAAACACAGGACATTCATACAACAAAATAGAACATACAATGGACATTATAAAAATAATACAAAACAAACGACATAGAGACACCATAGAGAAATATCATATACAAAGAACACATAAACAAAACCTTGCACTAAACGACAGCAACATTTACACGAACAATCCGATATTTAACATTCTACAGTCCATTGACCCAACCCCCTAAACAACTTTCACCCAATATATATAGCCACACACGATACCTACAACTCAGTTGCTGTCTGCCATTCAATAACAACGGACACGCACCTCATACACAACCCGATATAGGCAACCAGGCGCGTCTCCAAAAATAAAATCGAAGAAGCCTGGAGATGTAATAAAAACGAGTAAAAACAAAAGCAATATAAGCAGAGCAACAGATACACCAGATTTTAATTTTAATTTTGATAGACCTGACGATGATAAGATTGTATATCGAAACATGTCGTCAATTTTAAAATGTAACAATTTTATGTGAAATTTTATATGATTTTAACAATAAGCTTGTGTAAACGACGGAAAATAAAAGTATTGTATTTTGGATTATGTAGCATAAATTCATAGGAGTGTAAGTGAATAATGAATTGAAAAGAATGTGGAAGGAAGTGGTCATAGCCTAACATAAGATCTCTGAGCCAAGATTTAAACCTGGGGTATCCTGAATGTGAAATAGGAGTACTGATCACTAGGACATGTCTTTTTCTTTTGTAGACAGGAGATTCACTTAAAACTTCCCTGAAGCTTTTTGATACTAAGGTTCAAGGCCATGCTGATAAGTTGTTCTGGCGAATCGAGATGAAAGATGTTCTGAAGCCTGGAGAGACAGCTGTTGTAAGTTAATATTTTATTTTTCTCTGACAATATAAACACTTTCCTTTCTATGCAGTTCCTGGTAAAAAAAAATACACTAATGTGCATAAAAATGGAAATTTATAACTAAAAGAAGTGTGCCAAAATTGTGCTAGAAGAAAACAATCAAATAGGTGTAAGAATGATGCCACGTATCCACATAACAGAAAACAGAGGAATGTTTGTGTTTAGCTACATTCAAGTGTGACAGTGGTCCATTTTAAATTAAGAACATGTTATTCTGAAAAGCAATAATTTAGGGATGAATATTCTACCTGTGAAGAAATTGTGATTGCATACACAGTAATTCTATTCCCATTGAATCCATATCGAAGTAGATGTATGGAGGGTTACATTTGACATGCATCAGGCACAAAGAAAAACAGAGCACTGCATGTGGTCAAAATATGTGAAACATGAAGTCCAGTGGCACACACCTAAATGTTGATGATTGGCAGATTAAATAAATGTGAAGATGGCTGTCTTCTGTGTTGTTACACCATTTAGTCTAGTAGATTGCTGTGATGATGGAGGCAGCAAACACTTTTGAAATGTGGCCAGTAGACAGCCATCGACTAGTTTCTCAATTATATGAAAAAAGAGAACATACAAGTATTAACAAACTACTGTTTGTACAATCATAACCATAACCCAAAAGAGTGTGATACTATTTCTAACTCATGTTTTTCATGTTATCTGCTGCCTTACAGTATCTCTACCATTGCTCCTCGATTACAGCAGAAACTTAAGAATTTACTCATACAAGACGTCCTAACTCCACAGTTTGTGCTATTTTTGCATATGTGTATGTTTTCCCTAACAAGTTTCAAGCAGTGGTCTGTAGAAAGGTAATGCCATCAATTGTTTCTGCAGTGCCTGCAATTATACTAACTTGAAGGCTATTTTTCATTTTGAAGTGAGGTGTACACCAGCACTGTTTATATAACATCCTGAAATTTTATGTGCAATTTTTTCCCCTTCTATCATCAACAGAAATATCAGCTTGGTGACAACATAAATTATTAATATTTTGCCATAATTTTGTGAGTCTTTGTAGGAAGGCAATGGAAAATTTATAAGGGGATGCAGTAAATGTGTCATAATTGTTTGAAACACATTTGTTGAAAAGTGATGAATGGGATATTTGTCAGTGTATATGTGAGAGAAATGGTAGTTTGTCTCTTAAACATTTTTTTAATTATGTACTAAATGTCTGTATTAGTCAAGACCATTGGAAATAAATGATTGTCATATTTGTTTCAGGTGGATGTAGAGACTGTCTATACCCTTCAGCTTATACCTCATCCAGCTTCTATCACACAAAAAGATAAGCAGCTTGTATTGTATAATGGCAACCATTATTTCTATAGCCCTTATCCTGTAAAAGAACAAAGTACAATAGTGAACCTTGGTACAAGAAATGTAGAGAGTTACACAAAACTAAAGCCATCTTCTCAGTCTGAGAACATCATCACATATGGGTCATATGAGGATGTTCCTCCATTTTCTGTGGTAAGTATCTAATGTATACATTGAGTTTGCTTGAATTTATGATGTTGCTTTTCAAAAAGTTATTCTTCAGAAATTATAAATGACTCTTCATCATGCAAAACATGGACTACTGTAGTAATATATCAATAAAGTAAAATATAAAGAAAATGTTGACCTTGGCCAGTAACCAACTGAGCATTTTGGAATTATAAATTATGCTACAATTTAGGTACAACTGCAGGGTGTTTTGAGACCAGATGTAACTTTAATTTTGGTTGTAATACCCAATTTTCAGGATAAGATGTCTGTTCATTATGAAAACAATGCACCATTCCTCACAATCACAAACTTGGAAAGAGTAATTGAAGTGTCTCACTGGGGAAATATTGCTGTTGAAGAAACCATTGATCTGAAACACAGTGGTGCTACCCTAAAGGGGCCATTTTCTCGATACGAGTACCAGAGGGAAACTCAGAGTGGCTTGTCCAGTGTCAGGTCCTTTAAGGTATTTATTGCATATTAGCAAAATTCACTTAATGTAAATACACAGAAAGACTTGGGCATTTAAGATGTTAGAAGCTTAAACTTTGTTTGTGGCATGAATGTTTCCTTGACTGTTTATTTTGCTTCAGAATTTGTTACTTCAATCAGAGCATATCTGATCTCATAGCTGTACTTAACCCTTTGTGGGCTATAGTCAAGTAGGAGATAATACAGGAATCTGTGATACATAATACTATTAAAAATTTAAACAGAAATGTAAATTTTCAAATTAGAAATACAAGTTCTCTACACAAGTAATTCATTGTGGAAACAATTATTTACATGGATTTAAAATATGTAACTATTTGTATTTTCATTCTTAATATCTGAAAAAAAATATTTATAACTTCTTTCTTTCTTTTATATTAGATCAGAAGCATTTCAGATATGGACTTAGTGCTTTCTTCTTACTTGTTTAAATATTTCCAGAGAAGACAAGATATGTTAATCTTGTACTTGATTTGTACAGTAAAAGAGAAGGAATGTTATTCATAATTGATGTTGTTTAACAGTCTTCCAAGTTGATGTTTTCCACTGAAATTCATTGTGAATTCCTTATCTCCTTCATCTCAGCTGTATGCCCAGTCGGTCATATCCTAGATTTTACTATCCTAAGAATACTAGATGGCCCAAGCAAATCAAATGAAGTCCCTCATTAGATAATATCCTAAACACCTCACTTCATCCTTCATAATTCCAAAATTTTCCTGAGCACTTTGTTTTTAAATATTTTATATTTTAAGTTTTCCGTCAGAGTAAAAGGCCATATATGTGATTTGAGATTCTCATGGTGGTGGAGATGTCTTCTAGGTTGTATTTCCATATGGACTTGCAGACAGATGCAGCATTTCAAAGGAACATACTGCCTTCATCTGTAGGGCTGAGCCCTGAAAATGGAGGTTTGACATCACAAGTCATGATGACACAACCGAGCAAATGAAAATATTAAAAAAGTTTCAAGTACTTTGGAACATAGATGGATGGTCACTTTTGCATTGAATGTTAGCAGACCCTTCAGAACTTATTCTTTCCTAATTTTATCAAAATCCCCATTTATATAGAAGTATAACTGAAGTAAGTATGAATTTATTTTCTCTTCCATGATAGAATGTGCTGAGTACAAATTTGTTTTTATTTTGTTTTATCACAGACTATACTCCCAGCAGCTGCAGCTGATATATATTATCGAGATGAAATTGGTAACATCTCCACTTCTAATATGAAAATTCTAAGTGATTCTGTAGAACTTGATCTTCGTCCAAGATTTCCATTATTTGGAGGCTGGAAAACCCACTACGTTATTGGATACAATGTCCCAAGCTATGAGTACTTATTTAATAGAGGTAATTTTTTCTGTTTAGTTGATGACTAGTGTTTGCAACAAGTAGCATTTTGCACTTGAAACTCTGTTGCATGTATTAATTATGTGTGATATTATTACACTGCTTCTCTGTTTCAATAAAATTTCTCTTGTGCAGGAGATGATTACTTGCTAAAAATGCGCTTCTTGGACCATGTGTTTGATGATATGATTGTTGATGAAGTAACTACTAAAATTATTCTGCCAGAGGGTTCCCAGAATATGCAACTTACAACTCCATATCCTATAGAACATTTGCCTAATTCTCTTCATTTTACATATCTCGACATAAAAGGAAGGCCAGTGATAATACTAAGAAAGAAAAATCTTGTTGAGAATCATATTCAGGACTTTCAGGTAAGCACATTTTAATCAATGCTGTTGAAGTATTCAGTATACCGTAATGTTGATAGTTAAATTCAAGACAATTTCTGAAGTTGGAAGAACAGAAATGAACCCTTGTATGTACAATTTATGTTTCTGTACAACATACCAAATATATCATCAGAAATTACTTTAAATGTGTGGTACTGATTGGGAATTTAACTGTCTATATTTTATTTTGAAAGAAAACTAGAGCTTTTCTCTCTCTCCATATAAATGCCATTTTGTTCTTTGCATCTTATGACAAATTTGAAAAATTGGTTACATTTAATATTGATGAATGAGAAATTATGAAATGTAGACACATGTAAATATGCTGATGTAAAATTTTTGTTTGTTTCAGTTGCAGTACAATTTCCCTCGAATCCTAATGTTGCAGGAGCCTTTCCTCATTGTTGCAGCCTTTTATCTTTTGTTTGTCTTCGTCATTGTTTATGTGCGGTTAGATTTCTCCATAACTAAGGTAACTTCTTTTTTAATCACTTTCATTGTCATGGATATAAAGTTCCACTGTGCAGAAAAGCATTGTGTATGTTATGGGAAGAAATGTTTTTGAAGGCATAAGTCAACATCAATTTTTGCATTTTGAGACATTCAGTAGCAAAACAAGTAATGTGAGATATGATACTTTTAAAAGAAATATACACCTCGGTTGAAAAATGCATACATCATTTTTGTGCATAGACCTCTGGATTGTGACCACTTAGAAGACTGAGAAGATGGAACAAAAACATTAAGACGTTTGTTTTGGAGATAGATTTTGAGGATAGGAGCTGGGTGGAATAAATTCAAAATCCTGACCAATCAGAATAGGTATTAATGATATTGGATTTTCATGTGTTCCTGCCGCAGAGCTAGTTATATATGTATATGTGCATACATGGAAATTTGCATGGGCATCTAAATTCTGACATGGGTGAATAATAGCTGATCCTTGGCAGACAATGTTTTTCTTCACTAACTGGTAAAAATCCAGTATACTTCCATTGTATGCATATCAGTACACTATTAAACCTTCATGACATCATGTCTGACTAATGCTAAGTTGTTACATTATTTCTGTTGACTATGACTAGGAAATATCAATATACCAAAAGTAACTTAATGAAGTAATGTCAACGGAGTAATAATTTTTTTTCCGTAGATAGCTGTGGTCAGCAGTATTGAATGACTACATATTGTACACAAATCAGCTTCATCTGAAACTTATATATATGTGAGAAGTGAATGATTTAACAAGATGGAAATACATTACTCATCTGAAAATTGTGTTTGGCTATTGGCAGGATGAAGTAGGAGAGAGTCGCATGAGAGTTGCAGGTTACTGCGAGAAGGTACTAGCCCATCAGGATAAACGGGCCCTTACATATACATACTACAATGAGCAGTTGGGCAAGCTGAAATCATCCAAAGACATTAACGCATTTCTTGTAAGCATATGTACACTATATTTAGTGAAATCCAAACTTGGCTTGAATGTTTTAAAAAATGAGAGTATCTAGGTAGAATCAACACTGGCAAATTCTTTTGTAATCCAAAATAAAAGTTTCATCGATGGGATTTGACTATGGGTCACTTGTACAGTTATGTTCCTAAGTGGTATCATTCTTGAAATCCTTTGTACAGCAATCTCATGTTCCTGGTTCCTGCTATTAATTTTGTCCTACCTATAAACAGTGCAATTATCATAGGATTTGTGGTTCTCACAGCAGTGAGTTTGAAGATGGCTGAAGACAGCCATCTTAATGTAATTATATTCCACATATTTCCTGTGTATAATGGTTTATATTAGTGATCACAGCCTTTGATTCCTTTGCCATTTTACTCCTTGCACTGTTTCCTTTGTCATCTGGGGTTTGTTATTAGTGTTCTAAGAACTATTTTGTCTTTAAGTATTACTGGTATTGATCAAAGAAGTGGGACTACTTTTTCATCCCAGGCTCTTGCATCACTGCTGGGTTCACTGTACACTTCTGTTTCAGTAACATAACAACAAATCTCGCCTTCGTCTTGTGCCTATGGACTAATTTCTTTTTATGTACTGAAATATACAAGAAATATATAATTTCCCCCAATTTGAAAAACAGGAAACTGAATAAAGAGAGAAATCTATGATCAGGTGGATGCTAGCTAGTATCAACAATAAGAAAATATGTAAAGTACTTGGAATTTAAAATTATAAATAGCATAAGCCATCTTCCACCATTCTCTTCATTGGCATTTACTGTACCAACTGCAATTTGACATTCCTAACTTTCATAACAAGTTTTCTATTTTGTTTTCCAGACATCAGTGAAGAACATCAACCATGAATACAAGCGTGAAACTGCTCATATTGCTGACCTTTTGGTAAAACTAAAAGCTGATGCCCCAGATCTTGCTGAAAAGGTCTCAGAGCTGCAGAAAGCTGATAAGTATGTATATTATGGTGTGTCAGGTCCTTCATGGAAGCACTCCTGTTCAGTTCAGTGGAAGACATTCACTGTGAAACTTATATAATTTGGTACCAGAATTTGTCTATATGGATTTCCACTTTTTAATGCACTGTCATATTATAGTTAAACATATGCTTAAGGCATCATCATGTGCTTCTGTGGTAACATTTGAACCGGCTGGCAGTTTTTCTTGGAAGACTTAAGCAGAGATAAAGGATATGTTAAAATGTTAAGTACATAGTGTGAAAAGGCATGGACTGAATCCATTTTCCTGAGGATGAGGTCCAGTAGCAGGCAGTTATGAATCTTTTGGTTCCATAAAAGATGGGGAATTTCTTAATAAGCTGAATGATTATTAACTTCTTGAGAAAGGCTCAGCTCCATGGAATTTTCTTGGATGTTTCGATTTCCCTTGCCACACAAATTTGAACTGTTATCAAGTAGTTACAATTCCTATTTTGTATGTGGGAAGCCCTGGGTTTGGTTGCCATTCTGTAGACTGATTATCCTGACTCAGGTTATTCATGCTTTTCCTCAGTCCTTTAAAACAGGCAATGACATCATCATTCAGAATCATCCCCATATTTAGTGCTACATAACCTGTGTTGTTGAGAAGTCATCAGTAAATAAATGTAAAAGGCCCCAAAACACTTCTCATTCCTTTGCAGTCTGCAGTGATGGCATTCTGATAGTTCTAGCAATGCACAATAGTTACAGTTAGAAGACTGATGTTGTTAAACTGCCTTTGAAATGCTTCTAGACACATGCACATACTAGAAATATAATTACAGAACTAGAATAATACAACCCCTACAGTATGTGTATATATTTCTTACCTTGTAAGTTCCATGTGCAGAAGCAAACTCAGAAGCCCGCGTTTCATAATGTTATAGATTTTGAAGTAGGCAGCACACTTTTTCGGCGTCTGATAATCACTCGGGGCATATTTTGGGCTGTGACTTGTGGTATCATGGCAAATACCCCAGACATGCAGATTTTTGACCTTGAATTATATAATAAACATGAGTTATAAGATAAGTAAATGAAGTACATACGCTTTTCACAAAGAGAAGTATTCCTCTGCGTTCCATCTGAAAGCATAATCAGTTATTGATTGTGGTCTTCTGAGTAATGATGCCATGTGGACTTATAGGTAGATACCAATGTTTCAGAGGAGCACTGCCAACATCTTCAAGGCTTTATCACTGCGAGAACTTCCAATTTCACAACAGTCAATTCTGTAATGATGAAAATACATAGAAAATGACCGAGAAAATGTTAATGCCAATTTTTGGTTATGTATATGTCTTATAGAAAGATATTTTGATCTAGTGTGCATGGCAAATCCTAGTCTGAAAGTCACAGGGTGCAGAAATGCAAAATTATTATACCCACCCACCCTCCCCCCCAAAAATCACACATTGCTAAAAGTATTTTAATAAAAATTACAAATACTAATTGTCTGGTGGCACACTACCAGCCAAATCAGACCATTCACCACTGCTAGCAATGCACCTTCCCACTCAGCACTTTTGGAAAATGAATTTTTGCCCTTTAAACAGATCCAGTGTTAAAATATCTACCATACTTGCCTGATTTGATTCCATGCAACCTTTTCTTGTTCTTAAAACTATTAATCTTCTTGAAGGGATCGTACTTTCAATCACTTGACATTCAGAACAATGTACTGAAGACACAAAAGATTTCCAGCGAAGTTTCCAGGCATGGCATTGACACTGAACTGCACATACAAAGTCAGAAGTAAAGTACTTCGAAGGTGACTGAAAGTTGATAATGACACTCCCAAAGGATCAGTATGATTACATAATGGTCTGATGGTCATATGGGTTATTTACATTAAAATTGCAATTTTATTCAAAATGTAATACCATACAAAATGATTTTCTACTGTTGCCATCGAGAAGATAATGGCCGTTGAAACACTTGAGAGTAGTCATTTTAATAGTTACAGAAGTTTAGCATGAGAATTCTAACACAATGTTACATTTCCAAATGTTAAGTTAAAACTGTCCTAGCATACCACTCTAATACACAAACCCAACATTTTAAACTATAATATAATGTTCAGTAATAAGTAGAGGGGAGATCACATACATCTGTTTTTCCTCACTGTGCCATGTCATTTTCTTTAGGGGCATATAAAATTCTACTCCCTGAAACACTGGTCAGCTATGTCAAGATTACACAGCACCTCAACCCAATAAATTAAGGTTGTTTTGAAGGAAAATCTTGGCATCACATGAATAACATGAGTTAACAGTACACTGACTAAAGCATATTAAACCCAATAATTTGGTCACTTGTAATTATTTTATGAAACATATATAACCTGTTGGGCTGTGGTAAGAGGACTGTTTTAACTATGGGAAGATGGTTTAACTCTGTTGATTTAAAGGCTTTTAGTTTTTTTTATTAATACATTTTTGTTCTTGTGTTATGACAGGCATTTGAAAGAGTTGTACACGCAACACCAGAGTCTGTATGTTGATAAACTAGTACCAGGAAAGATTGCTCGGCAGGCATTTGTTGACACTGAGAATCAATTCAACAAGAAGAAAGAGGAGTGTGTAGAGAAAATCAACACACTTGTTAAATCACTACAATAAAAATGTGATAGAGTAATGAGGGAAAACTATGTTCTTATGGTACAGATTTTTGTTATTTTTAGACAATCAAGAGGAGTTGTTTTTTTCATGTCCACTTTCAATTTGTGTGGTCACATGTATTAATGATTTTTACACATCAAGATTAGCATGCTAAGAGTGCTTGTGTATATATGGATGTATCTTGTTCATGAAAATTAAGAAAATCAAATTATATGACTGCCACATAAAGTTACGAATTGTTCCAATCTTGCTGTAATGTGAATTAGGTCATATCTTGTGCATGCTAGTTCCCCCCCTTAATTTCTTTCTTTCTACAATGCGGGCCCATTTGATAAAAAAGCCCATTCTGAACCATGAGAATGTCAATAAATACAATGAAATATGACAAGGTATAGGCAAGGTCTTAATATTTAATATATGTATAGGATTCTTGTGATATATTTACATTTATTATATTGCACTCAAAATTCAAATTAGTCTGTTGCATACTAATAACTTCCTCATGTAGCTGAAGTTTCACAGAAAGATGACATCCTTTTGAAATTCTGAAACAAGTTATGAAGGATCTGTAACACATTATTTATATGTTTTCAATTCTTCTTGCTTGTCCCACAGTCATGCAATTTGCTAGATTACATAAAAAAATTACAAGAATATTTCTGTATCAAAGTTTTACTAGAGTAAACACACTTTCTTATCTTACAGAAGAAATTGATGTCTAAGGTTCGACAGTTCATACAAAATGTACAAAATAGCAATGAGTAAGAAACAAGTTTTTTGTGCTTTTATGGCACCTGTACATGTAAGTGAACACTCCATGATTTTTCTCCCACAAAAATGGTACACTCAAAATAAATATACGGAAATCAAAGGATAATGTATGTTCAATTAAAACACTAAAAGAAAACATCAAGAGACAGAAACTAAAATATTCTGATATAAAAGTGCAACAGCAGCTCTACTTCAGGACAAGAAATTAATGCATTTTCATGTTTGCAGTCTGAGCACACCAAGAATACTGCATAATTAAGCATAAAATAAATTGTTATCCAAGTTTTTCCATATCCCTTTAGGATGCAGTGGCACAAAGAAAGTAAAAAACAAAACTAAGCATTTTAAAAAACATGCTTTGCTACAATCAACATGGCATTTACAACTATGTTAATACACAACTTATGGGGGGAGGGGGGGTGTCCGGCAGTCAGGGTACTGCTTGCAAACAGTTCCCTATTGCATAGCATTGCTAATTGGTTGCTGGACTTTCATCATACACTAGGTCCATGTTCCTTTCAATATATTTAGTCTTTCTTACATATGTAAAAGCAAATGTTACACTTAGTTTATTTTGACAGTCTTTAAAAAAATCTAGCTGACTTGTACATCCAACATTTAACAACGTGAATTGAACAAAATTAAAATCAGTGTGAAATAAAAAAATTATAGTGTTCTAAGTTAAAATGTAATAAAACTTGCAAAACTTTGGCTTTTGAAAAGTAAGAGTAATAAACTGTAATCCTACTTTCCAGTTATTGGCTTGATAAATTGTAATCTTCCATGAAAATAAAGTTTATATGACAAAACACAATGATCCTTCAGTCACCAGTAGAGAACATGCTAAAACTGCTTGTTAATGGAACTGGAAACCAAGAAGAGTGGACCTAAGGTCACATGTCTGCAGCATTCCATACTTTGATCATCCTACTTATATGGAATAAACAGCTGACAGAAAATCAAAACTGCAGTTATGCCAGAAAACAATCGGACCATATAAAGATTTCTGTCTTCTGGGTTGTTGCGCTGTGTAATCTGGTCGATGTTAACCAATGTTGGTTAATATTGGTAATATTTATCGCCCTGATGACGGAGGCAGTATGACCTCTGAAACGGTTAACATCGACCAGACTACACAGGGCAACAACCCAGAAGACAGAAATCTTCATACTCACCGCTGTGAAAACCTCAAATCTTACAGACCATATAAATTTTCAGAGATCAAAGTAGACACCAACATTCAGTAAGAATTATAGATGAAAGAGGATAAACATTTTAAGATGCACATACATCATGCAATGGGCATGACAGATCATCACTGGTAAACTGTGCACTTTTGATTGCTACAGATATTTTGAACCTATTATGAAAGTTGAATCACTCTTATAATAATGATGAAGAATGTGGCCATCAGTTGTGTGTAAATCATCCTGGTATTCTGCCTTGAGGGGCTGAGCAAAATCATTAAAAATATTAACTGTAAATCATAAATAAAGCAAGCTGGCTTTTAATGTATTTCATTTAGTAGCTTGACAAATTGATATTAATGTTTCTAAGTTAGAGTGACTCATCCCATTTCACTATAACATCCTGAAATGCAGGATTTTCATTTCAGAACCCATCCTTGATTCCTGCTTTTAAATCCTGAATTTGTATAGTATCTTCAGAGACATCCAATTAAGTAAACTGATTCTAAGACATTGACAAGATTGCATTTCATCCACATTTTGGTATGCAAGGAACAATGTGAGATTTGATTCCTGAATATTTCAGATACTTTCTTCAGGTGTTATTTAACTTCCATAAAAATTTCAAATTATATGTGCATACTTACTTATATTCACCTGAAATTATATGAAAACTCCCATAATTAAGAATTTGTATGAACAGTAAAAATCAGTCTCCCCCCAAAGTAAAAGGCAAAACATTGCTAGCTAATTTATCAAATGTAATTCTGCTGTTCATTTCACAGTCATGTGGATGAAATGTTTCATCTATTTGGCCCTTACTCTTTCAACTAAGCAGTGTTCCCATCTGAACAAAGTCTTATGCCACTTAAATTCTTATATTCTCTTTCCAATGTTTCCTTCCTTGTGTGCAACATATTTAGGCCTTGCATTATGAAGACACTCAAGGAGTGTGAGATGGGGTATGTACCCCTAGTACACATGGGAGATGAGAACTGCACATAAAGTTTTAGTCATGAAACCTGAAGGAAATAAACCATTTGAGAGACTTAAGCAGAGATGTTAGTATAATATAAAATGGATCTTTATAAAGACATGGGGTGTAAGGTTATGAACAGGAGTCATTTGCTCAGAAAAAAGGTCTAGTTGTGAGCTCTTATGAATATGACACTGAACCTTTTGGTGTCATAAAAGGAAATTTCTTGACTAAAGAGCAACTACTACAAGAACTCTGCTCTGTGGAGTAAGTTATTTTAAAGACACTGTATCAATGTTGTTGAGTTTCAATCAACAGTATGGAATTAAACTAATATAAACAAACCTGCTGTTTCACGGTAATTGTATCAATATAACAAAAAACTGTGTGTGTGTTTATACACACACAGGAAGATGAACATGCATGGAACATTCCTTACAAGTACACTGAAATAAGCTGGCATGATATAAATGGTCTCATCTGAAGTCTGTTTTCTAGAATTTGGAACAGAATTGGTAATATGCACTTTTCATACCATACAGCATAAATTTCTGGCTCATCTGCCAGGTAATCAGCAGCTGAAAATTACCTGGAAACCACAAAATACATCACTGAAATGGAATCACTGTCTTTGTATGTGAATGCTTATTTTGCTGTGCTTTCCAGGCAATTTCCCTTTTAGCACAATTATTTTGCTGCTTTTTTTGGCACCTTCCTTTACATATGGAAGGCACTCCAAATTTCCAATCAAGCAATGCCAATGATTGATGAGAATACAGTCCAGAGTACATTATGCAACTCTAGTAGGTGACACAATGCACAGCACATTACAGCCTGCCAATAGAACAAAATTAAAATTACAAAACTTTCTATAAACTGCTAAAATTTGAATTTTCTTAAAGTAAATCCAATCATTTTGTTATATCAAAAATGAGCAAGTAACTTTAAGTCTAGTCAAGTATTGCTTTATTATTACAAAGTTAATGTAATGCATGCTGCAATAATAATAGCCTGAAAAACTTCCCAGGTTACAAGCATTTAAGTGAAAACTATATACCAAGTGGTGCAAAGAAAAGGTATATTTTAGTGGACATAGCTTGTGTACAGTTAGGTTCATTCATTACACAAATAAATACTTTTGTTTTTAATGAAAAAACAGGCATTTTATTTATAAATATGTCACACTTTTTACTGGAATTGTTACCCTTGTTTTTTAAAAAAAACATTTCTTTTGTGCCACCTGGTATATACATACACATACACAGAGGTCAACAAATGTTGGATCAGTTCAATCAGACAAAAATTCTACTCATCAGGCATGCCCTCCACAAGATAGACCTTCATGAACAATTGTTTCAAAACATTACAAATTAACTATACAGTGGAGAGGCAAGTCCCTAATATCAGCATCTCTTAGGATCATACATGTATCAAAACAATTAGACATCATTAACACAGTGATGAAAAACAATTGGCATCTTACATATGCTGAAACACTCTAAGTGAAACAGCAATGCACTATTTCATAATAGTATTTTGCTCTACCTTATTACCACACCCCACTGCTAAAACATGTTAGTGTCACATTAACAGACCTTCATTCCCACACCAGTTATAATTTTACTCTTAGGTATCTGTGGTGAAAAAATTAAAAATGAATGGGAAAGAATATAAATTAAGAACAAAAAATACTAATCAACCATGATGTTTCACTCACCAAGGACAAATGAGTTGTTGAGCTCTGTATATATGCATATACACACATAAATACAAAAAATAATTTTTGTAGTACTGTAATTAGAAACTTATCACATTTTAAAACACTTTAGGTGCTAAGTCTGAAGTATTAATTTGCTCAAGCAGCACTTAATGATATAACATATTTCATTGGCTGTGAAACATAAATGCAGTACAGAAGTCAGTTAGATAAAGTTGCAGACTGTAACTTGCACACAATCGTGTTGCTATTTATGTTTTGATCATTGTGGCTCTTTCATTCTATCAGACTTCTGATTTCAAGGAAGTTCAATAAATCTGAATCCAAGTCAAAACTATGTTCTGTACAATGGTCCAGGCATCATTTGCATAATACAGAAAAGGCTCCACTGCATGCTAACATATACCAGTCCAAGTGTTTGTAAATTTTTCACTCAAAATTACAGTAGAGCATGAATTATTATGACTGTCAATTTGTCAACTGACATTTCTCTTTTCAAAATTTTCGGTTTCCTGATGGCATGATCATATTCTTTGAAACTAAATAGAGGAATGACCAGAACATAATGCAAAAGGCAGTAAAACAGGAAAGCTCCTTTCCTTCATTGTCCAAATTTCAAACTTCAGAATCTGCAAACTGTAGAATTACTAGGGTAATTTTTCTACAGTTTACCAAACTTATAAACTACACCATCACAATTAATTCCATTCATCACAGTGAATCAAATGATAATTTTAAGAGATCTCCAGTATTTACAACTGGAAAATATACAATTTTCAGTATGCATTAAAATAAATTATAGTGAACAGTTTTACTGAAAAGTTAAGTTATTCACAATATTAAATAATTTATACTGTCATAACTTAACCCTTATCTGCTCAAAATAAAACTCTACTGAATGGTTTCAATCAATGTTACTGATTGTTTTATTAAATTAAGTACCAAGTATTAACCTTTATCATCCATGCGATGCAGTTTAAGGAATTCAACTATCCACCACTACACTTTTCCAAAATCTGGCTGGCAGCCCCATGATGTAGGAATTTAAATCCCCTATCCCTGTACAATAAGCGTTAATTAGGTGACTTACAAGAGTTCTTATGGAATGAAGCATTAGGAGCTCTTCTTCATTTTGATATCCTCCCTGTCTCAGCTATTTTCATCTATTTTCAATTTCACACTATCATTGCATAAGATTTTTCTCATAAAAGCATAGAGTATGCCTCAAAATTCTACATAGTTAACATGCCTCACACAGAATGTGGACCACAGCTTCCATGTTTCCAAATATCTTACACATTGTTTAATAATTAACATCAGAATGTTACATAAGCATTCACAAAAATTACATTCACAGCACACATGTACAATATGCTGATTCAGAGGCAAAGGGAGTTCCACTTCACTATGTAAATTTATTTTGTGGTATTTCTGCAGTGTCATAGTCATAACCACCACTACCACCATGATCTACCACAACCAGAATTATGCCATCAATCTTGTCACTCCTCACTTTCACGAACCCATGAGTTTTAACTTTTAACTTCAGTTTCCATGTACCTGAATATGTTTATAAGAAAACCATTTTGTTTTATTACATACAAGAAATTTTGCATACATTAAATCTGTTAACTATCAGTGATAACTATGAATAAAGAATAATTTTCTAGAACAGATTTATTAAATATAAATTATACACCCTAAGAGTTCAACTACCTTCTTTGTCCCTTTGGTAAACTCTCACTTGCTATTATATAGTTACATCCATGGAATATACAGCAGGCTACCACCTCATCACATTTTCCAAGCATGTGCCAAGTGTCTACCAAAGTCGGAAACTCTTTGCATGAATGAACATTGACAGAATTCAATACAGTAGAGATGCTGGAACACATTTCTTGCATGGTGAAAGTCTTAATAGAAATGTTC